TTGGTGAGTCTCCTCGTCAGAAGTGCTGAAGTGACCTGCTTGAACTCCTGATGTCTTGATGGCATACAATCTAAAACCAGGACATAAGTCAGGTGAGTCTTTTAAGCTAGGATAGATGACAATGTTCTATTTTATTGACAAAAATGATGGACTGGGTGTTAGGTCTATCCTGTACTTTATAAATTACAAAATGGTAATAGTTGTGCTCAATTTATATCTGAAATAAAAGAGTCTTTTAAGCGCACAGAAAGGGGGAAGTGTTGTGGATAGATCTGGTGATGTTTGTATTTTGATGTTAATTCCACTCTCCTGGGAGGGGCTGCAGGCTGACAGTGAGTCAGACTGAAGAGTGAGTCACATACTCAGGTGATTTCTTATAAACCATCCCTTAATGAATAATGGATTCAATCACCATAGGAGGGACTTCCAGGTTGGATAGTGGAAGAAAGAGGATGGGATAGCAAGTGAGAGGGCAAGATGTAGCTACTAGTGTCTCCCAGCTTATATGATGAATTCACTAGGATTCGCCACCAGAAGACTTAGGTTTAATATGGTTTATGAGATTAGCATTCTAGTTGTTGCACCCAGAGATTGAGTTACCATTATTTCTTGGGGGTGGGGGGAATGTAAAAGTTCTAGAGGAAGACATATATAAAACATTTGAAAGTATAGACGCAGTCAAGGTTTGCAATAGCACAGAAAATAATTCCAAGATTGGACAAATAGAATTAGACAAAATTAGAGTGCTTTTGTACAGAAAAGGAAAATAATTATGAAAGAAAAGTTAGTCTACTAAATGTATAAAGATCTTTACCAGCTACACATTAGAAAGGGATTGATAATAAAAATATATAAAGAACTTTCATAATTAAACAGCAGAAAAATTATCTTTTCAATAAATTGCCAAATAAACTAAATAGATTGTTCTTAAAAGAGGAAATAAGAATGACCAATTAATATTTGAAAATGTGTTCAGCATCTCTATCTGTCTGCAAAATGCAAATTAAAACTACTTTGAGATTTAATTTCAACTCACTCAGAAGAGTTTTCACCAACAAAGCAAGTGAGAATAAATGTAGGCCAGGATGTGGAGTAAGAAAAGTGTAAATTTGTGAAGCCATTACGGAAAGCTGTGTGGAAGTGTCTGAGAACTGAAAATAGAGTACAGAATACCCACCCACTCCCAAGTCAGAGGCCACATCCCCACTGACTCATGGCAGCAAACAAAAAAGTACCTACCCACTCTCCAGGTCAGAACCATACCCCACTGAATCTAGCATCCCGACCTCCTCCCTACCAACTTACATAGAGCACCTGCTCATGAGATCAGAGAACACACCATCTGGCTGAGCTAGGTTAGTTAGCATGAAGACATCAGTACTCAGTGTCACCACGACTGATATGAAGTGTCACCTAAATAGTCTTTTAAATGTAGCTAGATTGAAGTAATAGTGAGCACTCAGATCCAACTATGTACTCAACATAAGAGGAACACAGCTCCTGTTAAAAGTCTCAACCAGTAAACTAACTTCAGATGTGAAATTCTCAATACAAAAGCACAAGCAACAGACACACACACACACACACACACACACACACACACAGAGAGAGAGAGAGAGAGAGAGAGAGAGAGAGAGAGAGAGAGAGAGAAGAATCTCATCCAAGAGTTACTACCAAAGAGAGCATCTCAAATGAAATGCAACAAAAGAATTGAAAAGATTGTGTGTGTGTGTGTGTGTGTGTGTGTGTGTGTAGAATTCAAAGAGGACAGGATTTAATGTAAAGAGAATAAGAATGGGGGTGATTAGATAGCCCAGAGGGTAAAGTGACTTGCTACTCATCCTGATGATCTGAATTTAATTCACATGATCCACATGGTAAAAAAAAAAAAAAAGAAAAAAGAAAATGGAATTCCTCAAGTGTCCTCTGACCTCCACACATACCTACATACCACATATATACACACAGAAAGACAGAGAGAGACAGAGACAGAGAGACAGAGACAGAGACAGAGAAGAATTAGGAAATGTTTTTAAAGATGATAAAAATAAAATTCCCAGAGAATATAAACAACAGAACAAAATGATGAGGTCAATTTAAGATATGAAAATAGAATTCAATACAGAGATAAAAAACAGACAAAAGAAAACTCAAATTGAACTGAAAAATTCAGTAAGCTCAATTAAATGGCTCAGTGGCTGGAAAGCCTAATGAAGAAAAGGGATCATGTAGAGGGCAGAATATCAAGTCTTGAAAAAATGGTAGAGAAGTTGAATCATTCAAAGAAATGAAAAAATGCCACAAAAATTGAATATGGGAGGTCTTTGAGACACCATGATCAAACCCATAAGTCATTGGGATATAAGAATTCCATATTAAAGGCATAGAAAATATTTTCAGTAAAATCGTGGAAGAAAATTTCCCAAACTTAGGGAAAGACAGCTCCAGGTACAAGAGGAATATAAGACATCCAATACAAGACCAGCAGAGAAGCTCCCTAACACATTGTATTACAGTTAAAACGCTAAATACATACAATAAAAATGTATTTTAAACTTCAAAGGAGTCTCATTAAAAGAACAACTGATCTTTTTTTCAATAGAAACTTTAGAAGCATCAATGTTCATGAGGGAAATTGGTCTGTAATTCTCTTTCTTTGATGAGTCATTGTGTGGTTTGGGTATCAGGGTGACTATGGCCTCATAAATAAATTTGTCAGTGCTCCTTATGTTTGTATTTTGTGAAACAATTTGAGGAGTATTGGTATTAGCCCTTCTTTGAAAGCATGGTAAAATTTTGTGCTAAAACCATCTGTCTCTGGGCTTTTTTTGGTACTTTGTAACTTTCATATCATGCACTACAATCCCATTCATCCTTCCTACCCTTCATACCTACCCTCCATCCTTGTAACCTCCTCACCCTACAGAGAAAAAATACAAATCTCACTGTGGAAGCTGCAGTGTGCCACAGTGTGTCCCACAGCATACCCTTTTATCTGTACTTTTTTGCAAATGTTCATTGCAATGACTCATTGATCTTCTACAAGGCGTATGGTTTCTGCTACTCTATCAATACTGGAACCTCACTGGGACTCCTCTTGGATATCCTGTTGTTACCTGGTGCCATGGAGCTCCTATAGGTTTGGATCTGTAGAAACAGCCTTTTATGTATTCCAGCAACACATCAATGGGTAGATATTGGGGTGGACCAACTCAAAGGCCTAGATCTGGGCCTGAGAGTTATCTGAGCTGGTCAGCCTGTCAGCTCTACTGCTTGTTCCCATGCTCTCAGGCTGCCTCACCAACAATCCCCTACAACCAGGGCCAGCTCTACCCTGCTGTCCAAGCTAAGTGCAGGACCTGTCCTCCCCACCCCCAAGTATTGTAGCCAGTGAGGGACATGTCACGTTTTCCCACTCTTATGACCCTAGGGCCAGCTCTCCCATCTGCCATAGGTGGCAACAAATAGAGGGGTAGGTTGGGGAGGGGATTTCTCCCTCACTGATATCACTGCCCAGCAGACAAGAGGCAGGGCTGGCCTTCCTGCAGTCATACCTACCAGGTTGTCTCACCTGCAACCCCCACAGCTAGGGCTAGCTCTACTGTGCTGTCAAGGCCAGGTACAGGGCCAGTTCTTCTATGTACTGCAGCACATGAGGGGCAAGGCCAGCTCTCCTGCCTGCCATAGGTGGCAAGGTGTGATGGTTGGGGAAAGCATCTCTCCCTTGCCCGTGTGATGACATGGTAGGCTAGTTTCAGGGCCTGCTCCCCCAAGTGCTCCAGCAGGTGACCCATCAGGACCAGCTCTCCTGCTCTCATGACCCCGTGGGGACAGCTCTCCTGCCCACCAGAGGGCAAAAGGGAAGAAAGGGGAATCTCTCTCACACAATGCCATCTCAACTGGGCCAGCTTTCCCATGCTCATACCCTAGGGGCCAGCTTATCTGCAATGGGGAGCCCAGGACCAGGTCTACTATGCTGTCCAATCAAGATGCAGGGCCCAAGAGTCAGGGACAGCTCTCCTGTTCTCACGACCTCACCTCACGGCCAGGTTTCCCACCTGCTCCAGCCAGTGGTGGCAGGGCTGGGAGATGGGGGAGGGGTATCTCTCCCTCTCACCCATTCATGCATGGGAGGTGAGTGGTAGGGCCAGCTCTCCCACACTCATATTCTCAGGCCAGCTAACCCACAACTCCTGAAATGTGCAGGCCTATTCTTAACATTACAACTGGCTAGGAGTGAGGTCAGCTCCCATACTCCCAGACCAGCTTCCCCTTGATGCCCAGGTGAAGAGTGGGGCCAGATCTGCACAGCACTCAGACATCAGCATGTTCTCAGGCAGCAACTCAGACCAGGGAAATCTGCCTGGCCTTTGGTGGTAACAGAGCCCTGCTACTGCAGGGCCATGAACCCAGACATGGCCCCCAGTGACAGCACATTCCAGGACTCTGCCACGGTCCCGATTGTCATCATTGGCTACTCACTATCTTTGAGTCTTCAGTTCTGTCTCTCTTCATTGTGCTCACATATTTCTGTTTCTCTTTCTCTTTCCATTTCTCCACCACTTACTTGTTCCTCTTAGTGGTACCTGGGGTCTCCGAGTGTCTAGAGTTGTCTCAGGAGTGGTCTCAGGAGTGCTATACCCCCTTTGAGCATTATGGTCCCAGGCAGGGATCATCTTGGACATGGCCTGCCTGCCCCCTCCAGGGCCTGCATAGTGCTGGGTTGGTGGTAATCTCAGGTTAGCTCACAATCCAGGCACCATGGTGCCAGTCTCCATAACTCTAGGGCTCGATCCTCACCAAAAGTCATCTGTCTCAGGCTTACTCCCTCCCTGAGCCTGCAGTCTCAGGTTGGGAGGGAGTTTCTTCTAGTCTCTGGTTCACACCTTGCCCTGGGATCCCGTAGACGACTGCATGATGGTGTTTTTCTCATACTAGTTCCCTGTCTGGACCAGCCTGGCACCAGACTGGTGATTTTCTCTGGCTCACTTTTCTCAGGGAATGCCAGGCTACTAATCATTCAGATTACTTCACACAGGTCAGAACAGAGTGTAGACATAGCCTCTCTCCTCTCTGCCACCTACTGACGCACATGTGACACAGCAGCCACACCTGCAATGCCTTCAGGGGCATGATGTGAGATTATTTACTGCCTGTGTTTACATGGATGTAATTAACCTCCTAGGGCTGTAGTTTTCCTTCTAGTACCTTCTGTAGGGCTGGATTTGTGGATAGATATTGTTTAAATTTGATGTTGTTGTGGAATATTTTGTTTTCTTTTTCTATGGTAATTGAAAGGTTTGCTGGGTACAGAAGTCTGGGCTGGAATCTGGTCTCATAGAGCCTGCAGAGCATCTGTCCAAGCCCTTATAGCTTTTAGAGTAACCACTGAGAAGTCAGGTGTGACTCTGTTAGGTTTGCCTTTATATGTTACTTGCTCTTTTTCCATTGCAGTTTTTAATATCCTTTCTTTGTTCTGAATATTTAATATTTTGATTATTATGTGGCAAGGGGACTTTTCTGGGTCTTTTTTTTATAAACTTGGTTTTAAGGTCTTTTTCTTGTGCTTCTGTTATGTTGAAATATTCAGGGGTTGCTATAGTAGGATATCTATGCTCTGGTGGTGACAGTCTTGGCTGTTACTGTGTTCTTACACCGGTCTCTTGGCATCTGTGTTTGGAGTATATATGTCTAGGTACAGATTTCTGTGTTTTTCTTTGTTGAATGAGTGTTTTGTTCCCCAGTTTCTGTTTCCTTTATGGTCTTCTGGTCTGAGTGGCCTGAGCTTCTGACAGTCTGTTAGTCTCAGTTAGAGCAGGGAGTCTCTACCTTAGTTGGGGTCTGGGTCATAGTGACTAGGAAGGTGAGGGACTCAGGATAGGGTGGGAGGAGGCTGAGAAAGTTGGGGACTTGGCTATAAGTTTTGCTATAGTGTAGTACTGACTTTGGATAATGAGTCTGGGAATATCCCTTCCCTTTCAACTTTATAAAATAACTTGAAAAACATTTATGTCAATACTTAAGTGTCTAGTAGAATTCAGCAGGGAATTCTGGCCTAGGAATTCTCTTAGCTATAAAATTTTTTATTGCTGCTTCAGTCTCATTGCTAATTATAAATCTAGATAGGTTGATTATATTTCATTAGCTCAATCCTGGTAGATTTTATGTGTCTAGAAATTCTTTCGTTTCTTCTAGATTTTTACACTATATTCGAATGTGTGTTTTTAAAATAGTACTTAGTTATCTTTCAGATGTCACTGTTACCTCTAGTGTCACCACCTTTTTGTCTCTAATCTTATTAATGTGTATCTTCTTTCCCTTTGTTTCTGTGAGTTTGATTAAGGCTTTGTCAGTCTTTTCAAGGAGCCCACTCTCGGTTCACCCATTGTGCTGTTCTTCTAGTGTCCACTGTGTTCATCTTTACCCTAATTCTCACCATTTCTTTGCACTCACTAATTTGGAATTTGACTTGTTTTTATTCTTCTGTGACTTTGGGATGGATTGATATCATTTCTTTGAGATCTATTTTTGGTTCAGTTCTTCATAACTCTGAACTCTCCTAGAACAGCTTTTGATGTACCTAAGAGGTGCTGATAATGTGCGATTTTATTTCCCTTTGATTCTAGGGACTTTTAAAGTTACCCAACTAATTGATTCAATCACCCATTGGACAGTCAAAAATATATTGGTTACTCTCCATATACTTGTTTCATTTTGTACTCTCTTTTACTATCGATTTATGGTTTTATTTTATTATGATCTGATAAAGTGGAGGAAGTTCTATAAGTTATCAGTTGTACTATTTTACAGATATCTACATCTATTTGATCTGTGGTGCAGTTTGAGTCTGTTAAGTCTGAAGCTAAAAAATGTTTCCCATCAGCTCATGTTTCAGTTGCTTAGTCTCTGGGTGACAATGCTATTTCATCAGGTTCTGGAGGGCTGAGGAAGTGAGGCCTATAATGAGAAGGGTCACTGTGGGAAAATCACTGGGGATGGTTATCCATCCATGGCCACTGTGAGTGGCTCCATCAGCCTCTTGATCTGCTGTGATATGGACATCCTCACTCTGTGGACCAAGCTGGCATGCCCTCCAGACCACAGTGGATGAAAACCCTTTAAACCTTGAGCCAAAATGAATCTTTCTTCCCTTAAGTTGTTTCTGTTGGGAATTATAGTCAGAATGAGGCAAACGTAACAAATACGTTATCCCAAAATACTTAGAACTAACATTAAATCACTTCATTATAGGAAAGTGTACAATGATACTTTTTCATTTATCCTCATATATGGCCATTGTTAATTTATTTAGCTATATGTACTCTGAACACAATAATTATTTTGCTCTCAGCAATTGTATATTTTGATATACTCTATATAATAATAATCACATGTAAAGTTATATACAGACCTATATTGTATAGCATATAGAGGTATAGAGAGACTTCATATGGGTAAAACACATCTATTTTACAGCTATATATATAAACCAAAAGCAGTTAAACCCACTCATACATTTTTTTCTTCATTACTTTCTATACATTTGGTATTATCTGACTCCCACTTAAAGAATATTCTTTCATTTTTCTTATAGGACAGGCTTTCTGGTTTGGCATTCTTTCAGTATTTGTTTATGAGAGAACAACCTTACTTTACTTACAGTTTTAAAGGACAATGTCACAGGATATAGTCCTCACTTCCTGTTCTCTGACCCGTTGTTCTAATGTCACCTGTCTGCCACAGTCCCTGATGAAAATTCAGCTCTTTAGTATGTCGTTGTTCTCCTTCAGGAATGTAACAATTATTTTTGCTGTAATGAATTTTTTCTTTTATCTTTATAGTTTAATTGTGATGTAACATAACATAGTTTTATTTTGTTGCTTTTTAAAAGTAGTTTCTTGGGATTGGTTTTCTTTGTACATTTCTTGCTGGTCACGAGCTGCTTATGTGCATATAAAGTTATTTTCTATTAAATTTGGAATTGTTTTGCATAATTTTTGTCTGTTTTTCCTCTTTCCCTATGGTACTGCAATGACATGCATTGTAACATTTTGTGTTTGTCTTTGAGTTTTATGGCTTTGAAAAACACCAAGACCAAGACAACTCTTATAAATGCAAACCTTTAACAGGGCTGGCTTATGGTTTCAGAGGTTTAGTCCATTATCATCATGGAGGGAACATGGCAGCGTGTAGACAGACATGGGGCTGGAGGAGCCAAGACTTCTACGTCTTGATCTGAAGGCAGCCAGGAGGAGACTAGCTTCTACACTGGGCAGAGCTTGAGCATAAGAGACTTCAAAGCCAGCCCCTCACAGTGACACACTTCCTCCAACAAGGCCACACCTCCTAATAGTGCCACTCCCTATGGACCAAGCAATAAACACATTGAATCTATGGGGGTCATGCCTATTCAAACCATCACAGTGTTATTCCATTCATCTCTATAACTGTCTACATTTCTTTAATAACTTTTGCTGTCATCATAAGAAGGTTTAGCTTAAATTTGTCCTCAAATTCACTATTTTTTCTTTCCCTTTTCCAGTTTTTCTGTTGAACCTGTCTGCTATACTTCTCATTTGAGTATTATTTGAATATGAAGCATCCTCAAACAGTCCATAGGAAGAAGATAAAGTCCTGAGTGGGAGTATATTATCGATATGAGCACAGCTCTGTCAAGGACACACACACACACACACATACACACACACACACACACACACACACACACACACAGAGTGCTTCAGATCCCATGGGACTGGCAAGACCTTCCCCAAGCCAGGTCCATGGGAATGGCAAATTGTTTCCCCAGTCCAAGTAAAAATGTTGACAAATAGTTGATCTTTAGCTAAAACCAGTGTGTGACTAAAACATCAACTGAGGCTTCCTGGTCCCTAATGTCAACATTGTATACAGATGCTATCAGCACAGCTTCTCCTCCCAGATGACTGCAGACTGTTCCCCACCTAGACCTTCTATTGGGATTAGCTACCTGCCTCCTCCTCCTCCTCCTTCCTGTAGTATATAATAAATGCCCTGAGTTTCTGGGGTACTGCTGCTGCATCTCTGTCAGAGAACACACCTTACTCAATCACAGCTTTTCTGTTTGTGTGTCTGCTAAATCTTCATTCCCCATCACCTCAGTTAGGTCAGTCCCTAAGCTGTGAAGGTTATGGCAAGGGTCCATTGCTGAAGGCTTAGTTCCCAGCTAGTGGCACGTTAAAAGATGATGGAACCATGAGATCACTATGTTCAATGGAACAATCAAGGAATCCATTACTGGGTGGGCTATTAGGACGTGGGAGTTATTGGAGGAAGTAGGCAACTGGAGGTGTGCTTCTGAAGACTTTAAGTTGCCTCTGGCCCCTTCTCTCTCTTTGCCCCCTGTTTGGCTGCCTCTTTGACCACTTACTCCTATTATCATGCTAATCTGTCTCACATCAGGCCCCAAGCAATAAACTCATTCTATTATTCATAATATCTGAAACTATGAGCCAAAATAAATCTTTCCTGTTTTCCTGGGTATTCTGTAACAACAACGACGACAACAACAAAAGTGATACAGGGTAGATTTCACTGACAAGATTCCTACATCTCCAATCATGAGAGTTACTCTTTTAATTTTAACTTTAATTTTTAAATATTTTCTTTGAGTCTGTGTACATACTTGTTTTTATCTCATTGTTGCAGTTGATTTGGTTTAGTTTTGGGATTTGGAGGCAGGGTTTCTCTGTGTAGCCCTGGCTGTCCCGGAACTCACTCTGTAGACCAGGCTGGCCTCGAACTCATAGAGATCCACCTGCCTCTGCCTCCCAAGTGCTGGGATAAAAGGCATGTGTTACCACTGCCTGGAGAGTCTGAGTACATTCTTGCAATAGGTGTTTTGTATCTGATGGCTACATGAAGCATTTGATTGTTTTAAAGGTAATTTTTTTATCTATTTCTTCTTGAATATGTGTTATTTATTACACTTAGAAATTGCTGATTGATTTTTACTAGTTATTTGCTGAGCCTGAACACAGACAGTAAATTCATAGCCCTTACATTATGTAATTCACAGCACCTCTGTTCAATTCATCACTCTCTCCTGATGCTTTTGTTCATGCTGCTTCTTTAGCTGAGGCCCTTGGGTGGGTC